CTGTGGTTGTGATAGTTTTTAAATTACGGAGCGGAAGAAAGACAGGCATAAATGTATAAATATTGCTAGGATGAGTTGGATTAATTTAGTTCTGTATCCAGGCTGTTCCTTTGCATATTTCCCATGGGATTTCTACTGTCAGGTGAACAGCACAGAAATTCCTGACGCTAAACATGACACACTCTAAAAACCCCCCCCCCATTTCTCCAAGGTAGAAATGCCACATTTCTACACAGGCTGATGATGAAATAGACCCTGCAATGGCAGGAGTTATTGTATTCCAAACAGTGTTGTTAACGATGGCCAAAAAACCACGGCAGTGTTTACTCAGTAATCGCAGATGAGTCATTGCTCCCAGTGGTAGCCGTACTAGGGCACATGAGGATTTCCATGCCAGAACCTCACCCAGTAGCAACAGCGTTCTTGTCAGCTGTTTTCCACCAATGACAACTTTATTAGCAGAGAGCTGTAGCTATCTTTTTTTAAAAAAACCACGCCCCCCCGTTCTTCTGTTCCTACTGGAATGGAATGTTCTGAATGTTTTCAACTAGAGCGGGAGATTTGGGCTTTTGTTTTTTCCCATCATTTGATAATGTCTTAAAACCCTTTCAAAAGATCCAAAGCCAACTAAGAATACAGCCACTCGCTACTGCGCCTGGTTGTGTTGTGTTATAGAACTGACAAAACCACCTTGCCCTGCAGGTATGGCACACCACTTATACCTGCAAGAGAACAGCAGTCAGGTGGCTGCAGGGAAGAAGCCAGATTAAGGAGGAATCCAGGTAGCATTGCCCCTTATGGCCAATTCATACATTGAAGCATATAGTTCATTTAATGTAAGAATGAGACATGCTGTGTAGGTACTTACTACAGTGCCATGGGGAGACAGCAAATATGGCCAACGGCTGTAGCTACAAACCCGTGTTTGCTACCTTGTGTAAATCTGGGGAAGTTGCAAGGATCAGCCAGGAAGTTCTGGCTCCAAGTCTCACTCCTCCCTTAAAATCACTTAACAGCCTTCAGCGGCTGAAATAGTTCTACAACTTCAGCCTCCTCCTCTGCAATACTGACGCAACAGACCAAGGCTACTTTTCAGAGTGGTTGTGTGGATCACCAAGCCAGTTTTTCCCATACATATCCTGATGAATGTACATACAATCCAGGTACAACACACACACGGCTTTTGTTCACGAGCAGGTTGAATAAGTAATTCTTACATTATACTCAGCACACGTAGGGCTGAACATGCAATAGAAATTCTGCACTTATCCATCTACTAGGCCCTCGTTATACTTACCACCACTGAGCACTTATTACAAAAGTTCCAACCCATTGATCAGTTCCTCTCTATCAATTTTTGCATGTTTTGAACATCCCCCCCCCCCCGCTCTCTTGATAAGCAGTCGAGACTCACAGTATTTAATAACCAAATCCATGTAAGGGGAGAAGCCACAAATACCACAAGGCTCTAAAAAGTTAGGACTACCACACCTATCTTTACAGTAAACATAGGGCAGCCAGTGCTAAAACGGGCAATATTTGGGTTTTTGCAATGTCTGTCACAGGTGCAAACTACCAGAGGTCAGGTAATATTTTTTGGAATGGCAACTGTGAAAAAATGTTTTGGACCCCAGGTGGTGGGGGAAAGGGCCATCGAGCCGCAGCAGACTGAGGGGTGACCTTCAAGGCAAGAGATATTCATAAGTGGTTTGCTGTTGCCTGCCTCTGTGTTGCAACCAGTGTTCCCTCTAAGCTGAGTTAGTGTGAGCCAGCTCACAGTTTTTGAGCCTCCAGCTCACACATTTTTGTCTCGGCTCAGGAAGGAGGGCTCCAGAGCAAACTAATTTATGCAGCAGCCGAATTGCTCGCTCACTTTAATGCTAGTAGCTCACAAAGTAGAATTTTTGCTCGCAAGACTCCACAGCTTAGAGGGAACATTGGTTGCAACCCTGGACGTCTTGGTGATCTCCCATCCAAATACTAACTGGGGCTGACCCCGCTTAGCTTCCAAGATCAGGTGAGCTCCGGCCACCCAGGTCAGGGCTCCCCAGCAAAGTTTGCCATAAGCGGCCATTTCATCCAGGCACAAGTTTCTGACATGCCCTGTACTGGCTGCTAGATCTCAGGGAACTGGGAAGATTAATCTCCCCAGCAGAAAGGCTAAAGAGGTCTCTTTAGGAACACACATGGTTTAGGAAGAGCAAAGTCACACCTCAAGCTATCAAAAGTTTGAGAGGCAGATGGGTCTTGGGTCACTTTCTCCTAAGAGACCCATGGATAAAGCGTTACTTTCCCTGGAAAAGAGGGAAAGCAGTGAATTCCCTGTTGGTGAGGGGGAAATGAAAGGGGTGTAAAAACTCCAGATCATAAAAGAAAGGGGAATTTTCCCATTTTGGCCAATGGCTCTCACATGGAACTACCTCAGACCTGAACTCCTTTTACAATGGCTGTGCAGACCACATGCAGCTAACAAATGAACGATATTCCATCTGGGAGACCATTTCAAAATACTCTTTACTTACCTGACCTGGATCGCCCAGGCAAGCCTGACCTCATCAGATCGCAGAAGCTAAGCAGGGCCGACCCTGACAAGTATTTGGAAGGGCAACCTCTAAGGAATATCAGGGCGGGGAAACGGAGGCAGGTTATCGAGCCATTTCTCTGAAACCTCCTAGCCTCACTAGGGGTCACCAAGTCACCATGACTTCCAGGCTCGCAAGCACATACACATGCACACACAATCACACAATTTGAAAAACACACACCAAAGAAACCCAAAATGCTCTTTACTCCCAAGAAATAAGAACTTATTCTTACCCAAGTATAGGGACACAAGGACTTGCAATTTTATCAATTTTCTTTTGAAACAGTGCTGACTCTGTAAATAAGCATGTGCAAATTTCTATTGATTTGGATGCCGTTAGTCTAATTTCGGGGGGAAATTCCACACCTTTGAAGCCAATACTTACCTAGCAGCAGCACAGGGAAGGGGGCCGACATTGATCCCACCATCCCCAGGGTGGGCACGGGCAGCAGCTTGAGAGCCAGGTGGGGAAGACAAACCCAGAGCCTCTTAATGCCCTTTAGCAGGAGATCCTCTTTAAAGTGGGGGCAGCCCCACAGAGGAGGAGGAGGGAGAGCAGAGAAAGTGGGGGAGTGGGGGTAGGCGGAGAATTGAGGAAGGCTCAGCTGCTTTTTTACTCTTGTATAATTCATTAACGCCAGGGCAACCTAAAATGGAGCTGGCAGCAAGAACGGATGATGGCGGGGGGAGAGGAATAGGGGGGGAAAGGAAGCCAGAGCTGGCAGGAACTCAAAAGGACAAGGAGACTTTTTCCTGCTTGATAAACCTTCACAGCCCCCCCCCCGTGCTTCATAAAATTACCTCATAAGATTACTTCCAGTGCTTGCTACCTCACAACTTTGGTGGCCATAAAGGTGCCACTGGGCTCAAACACTCTGTTCTATACCTTCGAATTCAGTATTTCATAGCCGGCTGCAGGACCAGTGTGGTGTAGTGGCTGAAGTGGTGGACATGGGAGTCCAGACCCAAATTCAAATGATTTGCTGAGTAATGAAGCAGTGTGACTTTCAGCCAGACGTCGTTACTCTGTGTAACCTACCTTACAAGGTCGTTCTGAAACTAATGGGAACAGAAGCCCTTTGTGTGTCACCCTGAGCTCCTTGGAAAAAGAGAGACAGATCGTGGGCCTATTGTGTTTTGGCGCTGTCTCCACAATGCAGAAAGCCCAACCCAGACTATCTCAGTTTCCATGCAACTCCACAACTTAAATCCCTTCAACTCAGTGATAGAATACGTGTTTGTGCATCTACCCAAGTTCACATCTGAAGACCCTATCAGCAAGTTAACCCAAGTCCCTGGTAAAGTACTGTAAGGGGCTCTATATAACAAAATAGCTCAGCACAGGCAACTGCTTCACTCACTGCCTCTTCAAACCCCTTTCCTGCAACCCCCAATTTGCAATTTAAGACCAATTTTTGCAGAAGCCAGGAAACACATGCAAGAGTTTACCAATGGGGGTGGGGGGAAATCACCCTGGTTCCTATGTGCAACATAAAACTCAACAACGCATACTGTAGTAATTGCAAATAGCTTGCTGGACAGCTGAGAAACCCCATATTTCACTCCTCTCCAGTGCTGTATGTGAAGTCCTCCTACAGGAGGCCTAGCAGACCCTCAAGAAGAGCAGGGATGGGCATGCAGTGGGAATGGAAATGCTGCATACAACAGTGAAAGAATCCAATGGGGGGGGGAGGAGAAGAGATGAAAAAATAAATAAGACAAAACCTGATATGCCTGAATGTTTCTAGTGCTCAGAGCTTCACATGCTTTCCCATGATTAAGGAGATTAGCCAAAGTAGTGAAAAAGATGGAGATGCGCTTTCTCCCTCCCCTAAAAAGGAAACCAATTTTTTTAACCTGTTTTAAAATCTCAGACACAGGCTTGTCTGCTTCCCTCCGATACACTTCGCTCGTTTCTAAAATGCTCACCTGCAAATTCATCCTGTCTAACCCACATCTAGCCATAACTTGCCTTTGTGCAACTCTGAAGTACCCGAAAGGTGAGTAGTTAGTAAATATTTTAAAAATATCCAAACACACTCTTTTTTTGTAATGATGCAAATTCTAGCATTTCCACCACATTTGAAGAAATGGTGCCACATTCCAGCAGACTACAGGCAAGCCAGAATGAAGCCCGTTTGAGCCACAGAATTAAGCGGGTCAGGATATGAAAGGCAAGCACAAGTTCATTTATTTATAGCAAAGGTCTTGGGTTACAAGAGGTCAGTTCTTGCCATCTTGAAGAAAGGTTAAACGGGATAAGTTATTGCATACATGTGCATTATAATTTAGCAGCAAGTCATTCATAGAAAACATTTCCCCTTCCTACTGCCCTTTTTGGTTTAGTCTCTCAATTGTATAGATATATAGATATATATGTATATTCGCCCTTTTTTACGAAGCATGTAACACCACCTTTAAGTTAATGGTCTTTTATTGGAAAAAAAGACTAGCATTTACAACTTGGAATGGACATAAACTGTAAATATTTTGAACAGCGATGTTGATAATTGTGCTGAAGTCCACAGGCTTCTCTGCCAACTCCAAGTCTTGGTACAGAAGGTTTTTTTTTAAAAAAATGAGAGTGTTGTCCAAAGAGGCTTTCCTTTCCCCCACCCCAGTGAAGGTCTCCTTTTAAAAATTTTGTGAACGGTTAACAGCCTGACACCCGTTTCACAATAGTGCAATGCAGACAAAATTAAAACCAATGTAACACATACATGCCACCTATAATTTCCATCATTTTGGGGAAGGGGGGACACTGCTACGACAGACAAGAGAATCTTTCCACCTTCGGGGGGGGGGGATTCCCTCTAAACACTTTGCATCCCTTCAACCAGTTTTGCTGCATACCATCCTGAGGTATAAACCAATTTTGAAAAGTAAACCAGCTATGACAATTTATCACTACAAATTGAGCCAGAATCCACTTTTGGACAAAACAGTGGATTATTTTTTTTTTAAGATTTGTGTTTCTTTTTCTGGGTTTTTTTAAAACTGTTTTTTTTAATACAAATGTCTGACTGTGCTCAATTGTCAAGCTGCATGCATGAAAAACTGGCGAGCCCAAACAGTGTAATAGTCATTAGCAAATGGAACTTTTGAGGAGTTCTCTAAGTGCTTTCTTATTTTAAAGGTAGTACAATTATTTATACTGGGGAAAAAAACTTGATGTTTAACTTGATCTTTTTTGGGGGGGAACAGGACCACCAACCATTACATGCAGTTTGTGGACAGAAGGTATTTCAACATTCAGTTTTGCTATACAGAAACAGAATGAATAAATGAACATTTTTTTTTTGCAAGAGGTAAGTAAAAGATTCAATTTGATTCTTCTAGAGGAAAAAAAAGGTGAAAGGAGGTCTCTTCATTTTGCAGTCATCATCTGTACGAATTCTGAAAGAGACAAACGACACAATGTGCTACTTTTAGTACCGCTGGAAAGGAAGTGGTAAAACTGGCTTCTGCAGCAGAAGCCACTAACACAGGTAGTTGGGGAATGTGAACAAACACACACGCTCAGATCCTACAAATGAGTTCCACATGTACTAGTGTGCCCCAGGGAACATGCTTCCGCTTCCTCTAGTGAAAAACACTGATCGTGCAGAAACAGAAGTTCTAGGGCAGGGGTGTCAAACATACGGCTCAGGGGTCAAACTGACCCATCCAGAGCTCTTATGCGGCCTGCAAACAACTAGTGCAAGGGAGGGAACAGGAGACTTCCGGGGGGCGGAGCCACACCAACTGTGGCTGTAGCAAGGCAGAACCACCTTGTCTGCAGCAGTCAAGCAGTACTGGGAGCATCTGCCAATGCTGCACCGCTGGCTCTCCAGTCTGCCCATATGGGTTTTCCTTTGCACCCCCCTCCCAGCCCATGGGACCTTGCAGTGAGGATACACCAACTTGGAGCTTACCAGCTGCTGTCCTTTATACAGCTTATATCTCCGGTACCTGGCATTATGGCTAGATAGGAACGCTATCTATTGCTAGATAGGAACTCTCAGTCTGGGGCAAGTGATGTTCTGTAGTCTTGGTGCTTGGGGGGAGGGGGGAACAGTGGGAGGGCTTCTATTGTCCTGGCCCCACTGGTGGACCTCCTGAGGGCACCTGGTATGTTTGGCCACTGTGTGACAGAGTGTTGGACTGGATGGGCCACTGGCCTGATCCAACATTGGCTTCTCTTATGTTCATGGCCTGGCCCAACAAAGTGACATTTGTCAGATCCAGCCCTCATAACAAATGAGTTTGATACCTCTATTCTAGAAAAAAAACATGGCCTGCAGCCGAAGCTATCTATTGCGCATGAATGCAATCAAAGGATCCAAGTACAGCGGGCAGCCCCACAACATACAGCGTTCTATCCTTTCAAAGTGCTAACTGGATACATGAACCACAACTTACCTTCATAGTTCACTTGCCCATCCCCATCGATATCTGCTTCTCTGATCATTTCATCTACTTCTTCATCCGTTAGCTTTTCTCCTAAGTTTGTCATAACATGACGTAGTTCAGCCGCACTGATGTATCCGTTGCCGTCCTGGGAAGACAGCAACAGAGGACTTTTACTTCGCAGGGAAGTCTTACATTCTAGGAGACATTGGTATCACAAGTGGAGGCTTGGGGTTCAAACAGTCAGCCCCCAACTGATCAACTCTTGTCCATCTTTTCCAAATGACATCCCAAGGTAGAAAGAGCGTGCGGATGGTAAGGCCAGTTTATAAACAGCTGCACAGATAACAGCAAAAGCCTTCCCTTGGACACTTCCGATTACAGGAGACATTTAGCCTTTTCAGAAGTTATTCTGGACATCTTGCATGAGGGGAAAGATACCACACTGGCTGGCTGTGAGCTGTCCTGATTAGCACATAAGCGGGAGAGACTCGGATTCAAGCCCATGTAGCCCAAGCCCTTGGGCCAGTTACGCTCCCCCAGCCTAACCTACTTCATACAGCTATTGTAATGTTACTATGGAGAAATACGTTTGCCTCCATGGAGTGATAAAAATATGATAGGACTGTGGGGGGGGGGGGGTTGGGGGGGTGAGGTGCTATTTCATCAGGCCTTCTAAAAAAGTAACTGGGGGCACTTGTCGTAGATGGATAAAGAACAGAAGGTTGTATACAAAGACTGTCGCCCTCCACCACTTATCAACAGAAACTTGATTAAACTCTACTGTTCGGCTGCAGGCAGCAATGTTTGTGGGCCACTTCCCACCCTCCCCTTTCACCTTAACATCTGTGCTGAGTGCGAACAAAGCACTTCGAAGTTCAGTGAACATCAGAACGGAAGTGCATGTTTTGCTTCTTAAATAGGGTGGGCTCCCTTCTCCTTTAAGGACTTTTCTAAAGAGCAGTGAGATATTTTCCACCACTAAGAAAAATCAAAAGTGGCATTCAGAACAGAAAAGGGGACGCAAAGACAAGTCAGTATTTAAATCAGTCTGGAGAAAGCTCACTTAGGCGTGCCCAATGGACTCCCAGAAGATTTAATTTTTCCCTTTGCTTTTGAAATCTCTGCTCCCCACCAAGTTCCAAAAGGACACTGTAATGTGGGACAGGGAGCTGTGGTTCAATACAAGCTGAAGTCCACCACAGTTGAATTTGGCCCCTGGTGTTTCAGCCGTAGTACCAAATAAGTGGAGGACGCAGGATTCTTTGGGCCACAGCAACAAACAACTGGAAAGGCCATTTTTTTTGGCAATACAGTACAACTCATACTGCAGCTGAAACAGAAAAAAGCTCCACAGGTAGGTTCCAGAGCCTCTACCAGAGATCTTTGCTCAACTGAAGTGCTTCTCCTCACCCTTCTTACACTTGACTGAAAATTCACTTCACAAGCTATCACGCTCTCAGCCAAGCCCAACATCCAATGGGATCGATACTGAGGTTAAAAGCTCTGTCATTCTCTTACCACAGGATTAAGGTGCATATGTTACCCAAGACAAGACCTTTTTCACACTGTACACAACAATAAACCAAAGTTTGGTGCACATGCTGCAAGGAGAAGCTGCAGCCAATTCTGGCTCTCTGATAGCTGTATGATACATTTATATTTTTAAGTCTAAGTAAAAGTGGAGATGCCTATCACGACTGAAATTTTTCAATGAGTCTGGCATGCCGCAGGAAGTTACTGCTAGCAGGTGTGCAAATCCCACAAGTTCTCAAACGTCTTCCACTGGTTTGCCAGTTTCAAGGTCATTTTTTCATTTCTAAAGTCGTATTAAGGCCTGGGATCAGGGTATCTGACTACTTACTCCTGCCTGGACATTGTGTTTTTCACTATAGATCCTGCTTTGTGCCTCTGTCTTCAGAAGTGAAGCAGGTGGTCATGAAGATCAGGGTCTTCTCAGTAATGGCATCTCAGATCTGGAATACCCTACCCCTTCTCACCTTGCCTAGTCCCCATACTGATTGTTCCTGGACTGAGATTTTTGTTTCTTCAGATTAATTACTAGGGATTTTACTCTTCCATGCTTGCTTTTGGATTTTTACTGAATTTTCAATATAACTGGTTTTAAAGTTGGTTTTTTTACATCAGAATTTAAGTTTTATGGAAGTTGAAAATATATTAACATGTGATTGCAGAATAAGTGCATATTTTAATTCAAAATATTTGTTTCAAGTGGACAAAGAGGATCCTGTACAAATTCACCAGAATACTATACAATACTTATTGATCTCTCTGGCAGTAGCTGGTGAAAAGTGGTTTTCAAGCCACATTTCTTTTTATCCTCGCCAACAACACTTGCTGTACAAGCCAGACCAGAAAGGTATCATTGGACCAAAGAGAGGTATCTAGCTAGCCAGTGTCTATTCCACAGTCAAACCCAGCAGTCTGTCCACTGCAGCACATTAGACCTTACTAGGAAGTCAGTTCTATTCCAGATTTCAGCTTTTGTGGACTGGACCAAACAAACAGCTGGTTAAATGTCTCCACGCCATACCTTATCAAAGACTCTGAACGCCTCACGAATTTCTTCCTCGCTGTCTGTGTCCTTCATTTTTCTGGCCATCATGGTCAAGAATTCCGGGAAGTCAATAGTGCCGTTGCCTTAAAACAAAGTGAAGGAGAGTTAAAGTCAGCAACTGTTACTTTAGAATGCATTAATTCCTTTATAACGAAGCTTGTTCTTGAGTTGATTCAACTGTGGATCAGATATTCCTGAACTCTTGCTTTTATTTTAGTTCCTTAAAAAAAGGTGGTGGTCTTTTCAGGTAATTCAGCCTTCAAAAGGCATCTTCCCTAAATTGTTGTTGCCCTTCCAATCAAACACAACTATATACGTTCCATTAAACCACTATTATGGATAAGTCAGCAGTGCCGCAGATAAAGCTCTTAAGAGGTTTAGCATGGAGTTCCCTCAGTTACTGTGAAAGCCTCAAAACCTTGAGTGCAGCTATCAGAATGCTTAAGATACTTCATGCAGAAGTGCAGAGAGAAGGGGGGAATTGACACCAATAAATAAATTATCTGTGTAACCTGTGCAGTTACCTCCTCCTACCCACTAGGGGCACTCCTGGATGTTTATCAGTTTTAACAGATTTTAGGTTCAAAAGTTAACATGCCCTCAAGTTTTCAGTACCAGGCTATTCTTTCCTTCCCTACTCCTTTCAACTAATCCTAGGATTCTGCAGACATTCTTTCATGCTGCAAAAGTCAATATCCTATTTAACCGTAGTCTTCCATTATATTCTTCCCAGCCCATATCTCACAAACAATTCCACTGACAACTCCCCCAAAGAGTATTTCTTGCTATGAGTGGCTTAAAGAAGAAGGGGACCTTAAAAAGGGCAGAGCTTAGATCACACCAGCACCTTAATGTACCAGTCAATATGCCCCCCTCCCAGCAAATTACAGAGTGAATATGCCAGCATAGCAATCTGAGGTACAGGTTAAATTTCAAGATTGTGAGAACCCCCCTGAAATTAACAAACTCCACTCCCTTCATTGGGAATACAACTTCCTGGATTTTAATTTTTTTTTTTAATTATTTCTATGTGTTTAAGAATCTTTAGCCAAGCGTTAAGGCTGATTTACTGATGACAGTCATAAATAAGATATGAAATATAGAGGAATATAAAACAGTTCCATTCTTTTTCAATATGTTATACCTGAAGGCCCTTTGTTGAGGAAGGATACAGAAGCCTTGTGAAATTATTCCCATGTTGCTTCCATCCCACTAAGATCTTGTGCAATGCCCGTCATTATGACAGAGCTTGTGCAGGTGGATGAAAATTTCAGTCAAGATGTTAAAAGAAGTCCCAGGAATTGCCACTCAATTTTGAGTAATGGTAAAACACACTCCCTGGGCTAGATTCAAAACTGGAGAGAGCCATTTCACACACACACACACACATACACACACACACACACCCCATACCCATCAGAGAACGATGTGGGTTTTTCCAAACCCAAATGCAAAATCCTGAAAAAGTGCAAGCGCTAAATGTGATTCATGCTCCCCAAATCACAGCCACCTCTGGTGCTTCACTTATTTTGCTGTGGCAGCATGTACAGCAATGAAGAAGCCCTCCTCACGTGGCATCTAGAATATTAGCATCTTGGAAGACTTTTGTGGATTCAAGTACCCTGGGGGAAGCTACACCTCCCAAGATCCTTTGTACTAACAGCCCAGGCCTCCAGGTTTTCCTCTTGCTGTGATCACCCCAACCAAGTCGGGAGACTGAGGGGATGTTAGCCAGGGACAGGGAGTTTTGCTTTAGTTTAAGTCAGAGTCAGGGCAGACCTCAAAAGCAAAGGAGAGGAACGCTGGTCAGACAACTGAGCTAGTTTGCATTCAAGGTCTGCCCCTCATTCAGCCAGTCCTTTGAAGGCATCACAAATGTTTATGTCCTGTTTTTATCTTAGACAATACAGCTGTCAAAACAAACATGACTTTTCATTAGAAATATTTTAAAAACATGGTTCAGTTTACCAGAATTTCCTTGAACATGCTTTAACTAGAAGTCAATATCAGAGAGGCCAAATGCACACAAGAACAGCACACTATTCACATATTCAAAGTAAGGCTATTCAAAAATTCAAGCACTTACCGTCAGCATCTACCTCATTGATCATGTCTTGTAATTCTGCTTCTGTTGGGTTCTGACCCAGCGACCTCATGACAGTCCCCAGTTCTTTTGTTGTGATGGTGCCGTCACCATCTTTATCAAATAGAGAGAAGGCTTCCTTGAATTCTGAGGACAGAAAGAGACCCAGTCACCAAGTAGCAGGGCAACTGCCATTTAAGAGCAGTATGAAAATCGAGAACAATGTAGCTCCAAAGGTGATCCTTCAACAGACAGATTTGATCCATGTCGCACCACAATAGAATGATTTGATCCATGTCAGACCACAAGAGTTTACATATGAAAATACAATAAACCTGATTTGGCATATACATGTACAAAACATTATTTCCTGCTCATTAGTGTCAACTCTCTCATCCTGTTGACTACACTAATTGCTAGTGAATTTCATCTAATGACAAAACCCAGTGTGGTGGACTCAACAGCATTTGAATTTAAAGAGGGAGACTAGGGTTCAGGTCCCCAACTCAGCCATCATGCCCTCTGAATGACCCTGAGCAGTCACTGCTCTGCATCTCTAGAGATAACAGAAGAGGGACCATGGCTTAGTAGTTAAGAGCATCTGCTTTGCACGCAGAAGGTCCCAGGTTCAGTCCTCAGCATCTCAAGTTAAAAACACGAGGTAGTGGGTGATGGGAAGTCCTCTACTGTAGACCCTGGAGAGCTGCGGCCGAACAGGGCAGACAAGATCAACCTTGATCGATCAATGCTCTGACTTGGTATGAGGCAGCTGTGAGGATAACGTCCCTCAAACCCTCCCAGGCTATGCTCCATGGAGATGCATTGGAAAGACAAGAACACGAACTGTATCACATTACAGATGGTCAAACAAAAGAATGAGTTTTCACAACAAGACCTAGTAGCGGCAACTAACCACTCTAAACACTCTTAATCTTTCTTGTAACCATTAGCATTTCCAGTTCAGCTGACTTATAGTGAACCCACAGTATTTCCAAGACAAGAGACGTTCAGAGGTAGTTCTCTGCATAGCAACCCTGGACTTCCTTGGTAGTCTCCTATCCAAACCACCCTAACCAGGGTGACCCTGCTTAGCTTCTGAGATCTGGCTAGTGTGGACTATCCAGGTCTGGGCAATTCAGCTTTATAAAAACAAATTCTAACACCTCTCAGAGACCACCACACATTAGAAAGAAATAACTGGCTCATCAGCAAGCAGCATTTTTCGGCATATGCAAAGACAGAGGGATGAAGACACAGCACACATCTTCACAATCCCACCATGAAGAACAGCAGGCTGGGACTCATTTACTCTTCTTCACAGTGAACAAATGAAAATAGATTTTGAGTCCTCTTTAATTCATTCAATTCATTCAGTAAGAGAAGCAGAAAACTTGTTCACCAACACTATAGACGTGTTTTGTGTCAAGGCCTTTGTGCACCTGTATACTGTTCAAAAGGATGCAACCATTGAGACAATGTGAAAGGCCAATCACTAACAGAGACTGGGGGGCCAAGAATGAAAAACAGATCGCTCAAGGTCACCTGCTGCATTCATAACAGCATCACAGACTTCCAGGTTTAGAGCTCGGATGGCATGTTCCAAGATTACACCGAGCAGTCAGAAAAATAGTTAGTGACACAGAGCATTTACTTGTTTGCAGGACTTGCAATAAAATTGTTCAGTAATATTTGGATTTTGTCTGCATTAACCTGCAATGTTGCAGTCTATGGACTGGCAGAAGATTGATCTGGTTTACCAGAGGACCACTAGCCAGATTCTGATAGGCTACCAAGTACCTATCGGTTGCCAAAGAAGAATGACAGACAAGGCAGACCTTGATCTGGTCCCGCAGGGGAGTTATATTGTTAAACAACAAATGCATTCATGATATAGCAAGTATGCGTTATACGCTGCAATATCCCAAGTGTGCATTCTTGCTAGAATCCTTATGGGCTACTGATTGGTCAAAGCAAGAGAGAAGAACAGCTCAGGTGAAGGTGCTCAAGCCCACCATTGTTCTAGTCAGTGCAGCTGCCTAACTGTTGTAGCTTCTGTTTACGGAATTTAAGAGACTTCTGCTAGGTCTGTGCAGAACTATTACTCACTGAACAAGTTATGATGAAAAATATATATATCAATTTTCACTATTCATAAAGTAACAGCATTTTCCTATAGCTCACATCTTACTTTTTTCAAGGTGCTCTTCTGCAATTAACACTCATGGAAGCACATTTTGTTCTCTCTTTCCTACAGACACACACTCAAGTTTCCTAGAATTCCAAACCCTTTAATAAGGCCATTGCTGTAAAACAGTAACGCTTTGCCCAAAAACTTTAAGGGTGTCTTGAAAGAGTCATCTACAGGAACCAGAATGGGTTTTTAAAAAATGATCAAATTATATTAATTATATTATTTTTAAAAAATTAAGTGTCTCCAACTAGCAAACAAAGAAGCTTGATCTCTTAACTGGAACCAACATACTGAATTAAAGGCTGCTTTCCTACAAAAGAACGAACCAAAGAGGCACAAATTACTGTTGAGGTCCGCCATTATCAATACAACAGTGTGTCGTTAGGGCAGCCATTACACGTACTAGGACCCTCCTGTATCTGTAAAGGGTCATACATTAACTATACCTTCAAGGATTTGGGGCCTGTGCTGTGAAACCTTCTAGTTATCTGGTCAGCTGATGTTTACTTTTCATATCTGAGAAGAATGAGTTGGCCAAGCAGCTCCCTGCCCTTGCTTCTGGAGAAGTCTGGACACTTGTCTTCCATTAAGTCATCTTTATTGGTGTCCTTGAATGGGTCTGGTTTTGGCTGTCTTTATGCATACATTTCATACTTTCCCCTTTGTCTCAAAGGAAAGATAACTATACAGAACACAGAAGAGATGAGTGTGGGACAGTTGTTTTAGTTTCCACCATTAAGAAAACTAGCACATGTTTGTTCAGGAAATATCTGAATTACTGAATAAGAAATATGATTTTTTTTAAAAAAACCAGTCTTTCCTAGCTTATGTAAAGACCAGCATGACAGTCACAGGAACACACCATCTGAAGAGAAAACAGCCAAGTGATGCCAGCCACCGAGAATGTTCTGCAATATTTTTATATTCGGAATAGGTTGCTAGGCCAACAGAAGCCATCTCTCTCCAATTAGGATACTTACCAGCAATCTGTTCTTCGGTCAGCTGATCGGCCTATGTAAAGAATAGAAAAGTATTTCAGAACATTGTTTGCCTGTAGCTATGTCAAACCACAAGATGCGACAGCAACTCCAAGAGGCTACATGACATTATGTTATGTGTTAACGTTTGGCACCTCAGGAGCATCCCGCAGCAGAAGTCACTCCGTCCATTAACTGGGAGAGTGAACAGAGTTGAGATGGCACAGAAGCAGGAGGAAACAGTAAACTGCCTGGCCAGCTACCTTCTTCATCTTGGCAGGCAGCAGGACTCACTCACACTCATGATCAGGGAGCAGGCCTTCTCTTTTCATGTCTGCATCATGGTTGCACTACAGCCAAGAGGCTGCACGGCCACAGAACCAGGCCTCCTGGTACTACACAGCAGTACAGGCTTACAAGCAGCAGGCCAGCAAGGTGTGAGCCATGTCACGATGCCAAGGCACACAGAGGTCCTCTCCAGAAACCAGCCAAAACATAATCCAGGGTTGAGTTTTAATTTTTAAACTTGCTTGCTATTATACCATCTAATAGGCTCTGGCAATTGAGACCATACCACACTATTAAAGAGTGCCTTTTAAAAATTCATACACTGTGTACAAGTCTTAGTTACAACGCCAGTCAGAGATGCCCAACTCCGAAGGCAATGCAAGAAAGCAACTGCACTTCTTCTGTAGTGTGTAGGGGACAACTGAGGTGTCATGAAAAATCCTGAAACGTGGATTTTAATTGGTAGGCTTTGAGCATATGCTCACCTTGCCCAGTTAAACAGTAAATAATTAACTAATGTCAAGTCGCAACCCACTCATGGAGACCCTTCACGGGGTTTTCAAGCCAAGAGATGAGCAGAGGTGGTTTCCCATTGCCTTCCTCTACACAGCAACCTTCATCTTCCTTTGTGGTCTCCCATCCGAGTACTAACCATGGCTGACCCTGCTTAGCTTCCAACCTCTGATGAGGTCAGGCTAGTCAGGGCTATTCAGGCTGCTGCCTTTGGCAGGGTTATACCCATACTTCAAAAATACCACTCAGCCTCCCATAGTCTTCATTTTTTTTTCCTTCTAAACCTGCACTTATGCAAAGATGGGCAGGGTTACTGAAAAAGGATAGTATGCGCTACATCATTTCTCCCTCCCGTCCCCTTTCATCGTCAACCATGTGGACAAATGAAACATAAGCAGCCTTTTGAGGTTGTTCGGAATTAAGGAATGTATACATGGACATTAAAAATGGAAGCCGTGACCTACATTCCAACTGGCACAGAAGACTTCTGAAGCATCTCGGACAAGCGCTGTTCCGCTCTCGTGTGCTGCATGTGCACAACATACTTCCAACGAATGCAGCGGAAAGGTTCTTGTGGACTTTGTAGACAGGTATACGCATCAGAGCAAGGCTGCAGGTTCAGAAACCACTGTTGGCAGTTCCCCCCACTCCCCAGTTAACAACGTCCTGAGAGAGGCTTCTCCATTTTTGCTTAGCTCCCAATGAGAAATACTGTCCTCCTCTCTTGCCACTGGATTTTCCTTTCCTCAGCCAAGTTGACATAGTGATTTACATAACATATCAGAGCAATGCAGAACAGGAAACAGGGCCACACCTCAACAGAAAAGAAATGCAAATCAACAGAGCCACAGGGCAGAAAACCCTCCAGCCAAGATTTGTGCTGCCTTATAACAGCAACCCAGTTTGCAACTCTGTGCACCACACTGGCGGAAGACTCAGGCCAACAGACCTCATGCAGTCCCTGAAGCAGCCACCCCACCCATACAAGTCATTTTTTGGAAGAACAAAATCAGAACCTGATGATGTCACCCTTCCCGACAGGATGAAAAGGGGGAGTGAAGGAAGCACGCTGCATGGTCCGGAATCATATTAGGACATCTGCAGTCCCGACTTACCCTCTCTACTATAGATTTCTTCTCTTTCTCCCAACATTCTTTCTATTTCACAATATTGGAGTGAACCTCTAGCATCTGCTGGGAGTGACTGAATGAAGGGAACAACAGCAACAAAACCCCCAGCCTGCTCTTTGAAGAACCCACTGGGCCCATGCTTGATGTCCGAAGCAAGTCACATTGGCAGGAGAACAAAAAAAAGGCAGGGGAGGCTTCTGCAGCGCAAGCTAGAAAGGCTCCCCAAGGCTGGTTGCTGCACACTGAGTAACCTTGACTTTTGACACAGCAGCCTTCTCGGTACCCAAAGATCAGCCCACCAGTTCCCTGCAGAGCACAGCCCGGCACCATCCAGGGCTTCCAGTTCTTCTCCCACAGCCAGCTAACCCCTCATCAAACTCTCCTGGGTAACTGTTTCCTTCCACCAGCCAGAAGCAAAATTGGATGGGGGGAGAAAGAGAGAGAGAAAAGGGAAAGTCACGTTGTCATTTGAAAGGATGCAGGTTTCACCCTCACCGCCTCTTGGGGTTAGGGGTGGGGGCTGGAGGAGGCGACATGATGTAATGCAGCCAAAGGTTTTCAGGATTGCTGCGGTTTGAGGAGTTTGGGGGGGGGAGAAGCAGCGCAATAGCTGCAGAGGCTCCCCTCCCCCTCCTTACCCTGCGCAGTGCAGCTGGTGTAGGAAACTGGGATTGTTTCGAGCATCCTTTTGACACCCCACCCCTCCCTCCCAAACCCTGAACTGCCATCTTCACCGAGCAAAGTCCAGTCCTGATCCCTCCGCCCCCTCCATCTGTCAAAAGAGGGTTTCTATCCAAGAAGGCATCAACCACACCACGATTCTCCCGATATCCAACCTACGGAGCTCCTGCCCAGGAAGGGTTCTCTCTCTCCCTGCTCTGCAGCCAAAGTTACGCCACACACCAGGGAAAGATCATCACACCCCTGTGTGGTGCATTAATCAAGTCCGGAAAAAACACCACCTATCACCAACCCGTGTGGAAGGGGGGACAACCTCCACCTTCCGCTTCCAAGCAAGGGCAGGCGGAATCCTCTTTGCCTTGCTGACCCTCCAAGTACAACAGGAGGCAAAGCAGCGTTTTGGGGGGCACTGCCCCGTACTAAGCGATCTTGTGCACCCCTTGCGGGCCGAGGGCCCAAACCTCCAGCCATAGTTCTTTTTCCCCATCAGGAAACGGAGGTGGAAG